GGTGCTCGGACCCTAATAATGACAGGTTTACCTCCACAGTGTGTCTGTCGTGCTAAACTTCAAATAACCTTTTAACAAGTTTGCAATTAGTCACGAACATGTCAGCTGGTTGTGTTTAATATAGGCAGTACTTATGGCAGCAGTTATTTTAAAATCTCCCAAAAATAGTTTTTCTTGGGACCTGATCAGTCGATGAAGTACCAGAAAAAACAAAACAGACAATATGACGGTTGTTGGTTCAAACCTTTCCCTTGGACAATAACTTCTAATAACTTGTTTAACTGTACACTAAATTCTACATCCACCCAACCGGTCGAGGCAGATGGCCGTCCCTCCCTGAGCCTGGTTCTGTCTGAGGTTTTTTTTTTCCCCTGTGGGGGTTTTCGGTTCCTTCCCACTGTTGCGGACTGCTTGCGGACTGCTGAAGCTTATAGGGAATCCAAATGTTTTGGATTGTTGGGTGTTTCTGTCTCTGCCTTTGTTAAGCGCTATGAGATGACTTGTTGTTGTAAATATGCGCTATACAAATAAAATTGAATTGAATTGAATTGGCCTGTTTGCTTTTCCTCTGGCTGATCTGGCCTCCTCCTACAGTCCATGGATGTTGGGTTAAAGGATGATTCTAAACTGTGAATGTGAGCATGAAGGGCCGTCTGTCTGTCTGTCTGTCTGTCTGCGTTGGCCCTGTGATGAACTGGCGTCCGTTGTGTATCGGCCTCTTATCCAGTGTCAGCTGGGACAGACTCCAGCCATCCCCTTGTGACCATCTGAAGGATAAAGTGTGTATAGCTAATGGACGGATGGATCATTTCTGAAATCTAAGAGGCTTAGCTTCACAGAAACATTTGCCAGAAATACATAAAACATGATTTTGCTGCAAACGCTCTAGAAAAACCGGCAGCAAAAAAATAGATTAAAAAAAACAACAATTTGCCAAAAGTTTTCCATGAAGTTACCCAGAGCTCTGGTGGAAGTTTGCCACGAATCCAATTTGCACATGGAAATATGAATTTGCTGCAAATTTGCCACGTTTGGCAGAAACCAACTTTTTTTTTGCAAGAGTAGTTTCATCAACTGTTATCCATTAGTTTTGCTAACCACCGCTACCTGTTAGTTTTTTATTGCCACTGTTGATGTATTTTCAGGCAACATTATCATTTCTAACAGGTTTGGCACTTTAAACAAGCTCTTTCATCTGTTATTCATTACCCAGCAAACCACTTCTAGCTGGTTGTGTGCTTTTAGCAAACCCTTACTGTTGTATTCCAATGATGAATCCTGATTTTTAACTCCTCTGCTGACAAGTTTTGATTCTCCAACACACCAATTTCTGGTTTCCTTCTTCACCAAACAATGTAGATTTTTAAAAAAATTTAAAATCTAATCATACTTTTTGATTTTTTGAGTTTCATTGCTCTTTTCACTTGCCTCGTGCAGACCCCTGCTCTAACAAACACCTATCAAAGAGAAAATGAATAAAATAATGTGAGACGTGGCGGAGCGGTTCACTGTTCATGCCAAATGTATTTATTGACTTAATTGACTGTACACAGTAGACACTAATAACCCTCTTGTCCACTGCTCGGCAGCTTTGTTGTCAGTCTGTCAGGGGTCCACTTGTCTCTTCTTACTGACCGGATCACCTTTTGATTTATTCCCTAATTAAATAATCACATAAAAATCCACTGGCTAACTGTTATTTTTCCAAGAAATTTCATTTACAAAGTGGATAATACACAACCTTGGACAGAGACACCTACTGTAAAGGTCAAATAAAAATGCTGCAAATGACTAACGTGGTAAAAGGTAGGTAGTTTCTTACTGCTATGAGCACAGATTTTTCTAACATAAGTACAGCACAGTCTTTGTGGATGAGTCGTCATCGTTCTCCGCGCTGTCTTTCTCCTCTCCTTGTTGTGGTGGAATACCTCGGTGGGAGCCTTGCATCCCAGAAATAATGATTCAGTCCGGATCGATACGCAGTCCGAGTAATACTCCGTCCACACATGTTCTCCACTGTTGCTCTGCCTCTCTGGCTTTTCTCTTCGTACAGTTTCTTCTCTTTGCTGCAGCGCCAGGCATCAGCAGAGGGCACACACCTCTGGGAGAGGCAACGCTATCTGTCCGACCTCTTCCTTCCTCCCATCATGCCTCCTCTTTCTCACCATCTCTCTCTCTCTCTCGCTCTCTCCCTCCCGCAAGCAAGTGGTCCCAGTGCTATACGTGTCCAGGCTTGGACAGGTAGGCTATGAGGGCCACAACCACCCCCACATACATCCCTGCTCCGATGGTAATGGAGAGTGCAGCCAGGAATAGGGCTCTTCTGGAGCTCATCCCCGCTCTGGAGAAGTCTCCCTTAGCAATGGCCTTGCCGGTCTGACAAAACAAAGCAGAGAGTGAAATGAAGCGGCGTGTTACTCATCAGCACACAGAGAGTATGAGTAGGTGTTAAGCCACAGTTAAAAAGAGAGAAAACAAGAAATGCTCTCAGGGAGCCATTAGTTACCATGGCAATTAGGTCATTATCCCTCTGACAGTGACAAATGTGTTGTTTGGGTGTTTTGGTTTCCTATCAAAAAATGAGCTCGGCCTGTATTTATTCTTCTGACACATTATTTTCTGTTCCGGTATATAATTGTCTCCACAATTATTGTGGAAGATGTTGCGGAACTACTGAGAGATGCAGCGCTTTGTCTCAGGTTGTTTTTGGACCACAGAGATACCGGCATTAGACGTTTCCGTAATTGCAAATGAGCGCTCGGCCACGGACAAAAACGGCTCACAACAGTGTGGCGGAACACACAGGACGGACCAAACCCTCAATGTTAATGGCTTCCCGAAGCGAACAGGGATGACTGACAAGTGGGCCGAACCTGCTGAGTTTACACAGTCAATCATCTGGAACAACCGCAAGGAGGGTCACGGGGTGGAAAATGGGCTGCAGTAGCACTCGTCTGAGTGCTTGTGCTCACTGACCTTAAATAGAACGCAGTGTAATCAGAGTTAATGACAGGCTTGAGGTCTCTGGGCCTTTACCTTGTGAGAGTAGTAAAAGGCAACGATGCCCAAGGGCCAGAAGCAGCAGAGCATGGAGAAGATGGCGAGGCCCAAGTAGTCCCGGGGGGGCAGCACGATGAAGTTGTCCTCACTCTCGCTGTCGCTGGAGCTGTCACTCTGGAAGACACGCGTTTATTAAGGATGACTGAGCGTCTGAAGAGGCTCGGATGATACTTGGAAATACATATTTGGAGACAAAACACATTCTCTTGTGAGACAAAGGGCGATTCTGTGATTGTGAGACCTACATAACAATAGCAAGGCTGACATGTAAATAGTTGCTGGTGTAACTTGACAACTCACGCCACCCACCAACATCCACACACCCCCGCCCGCCCTCCACCCCCAGGACACTGAATCTGCCCTTCTTCCACAACCACCCAGGACAGGATGTGCTCAGCCAGCCAGAGAGGATTTGGTGCCTCTGTCAACACCCATGAGCGGCACTGACAGATAACACAGGATTAACGGATTGTTCCATCATGGCGAGGTGACAGGAGGAACAGCAAGAAGACAGTGTCATTTATGTGCTAAATTGCTTCTACAGCCTAAGAGACCTCCACCATCTTCCCTTAATGCACCCGGCGTCTTACGAGGCAGGCCGTGTGCAACAGGCTCCCGACGCCGCGCCTCGCCACCGAAACTCAGGGCCACAGGGGCCGAGAGGGGCTAATGAATGATAGATTCGAATGCCACTCAGACTACATGGGCACATCGCGCCTGCAGCAAGGATGGCAATGTGACTGCATGGGTGACCTTTAAGAGAAGCGGGGCTTTACTCCTCTCCGCCGTCCCGGACACGGAGAGGATGTTTGTCTAAATAAACAGCCCCCATAAGGAGCAGCTTTCATTTGTTAGTCTCGCTGCCTTCAGGGATCAATCAAAGCAGGGAAAAGGAAAAGCACAAAACAGGAATCGATATGTAAGGCAGGAATCGAACCGAGCATTTTAGAGGTAATTAAAGAACAGTCAGGGAGGCGAGCTGGAAGAAAGGAGCCACACTCAGGCAGCAAAACAGCACTTCTAAGCTTGCTGTGCATCATTTTCTCTTTCGGCGTCTAATCGGATAGACATTTACAAAAAACCCACAGGATCTAATGTCGTTACCTTGAGCTATTCTGGAAGAAATATCTGCGAAGAAATCTCGTCGAGATGTTTAAAGGTAAGCGGAAGTAAAGGAAGCGCTATTATCTAAACATTTTACAAACAGCTCCCGTTGCCAGGAATAGATTATGAAGCTCCCTGTTATCTGCTTTATGAACACCGTCCACCTGGACAGCCGGGTGTGATCCATCACAACAGCAGCTGCTCGTAACTGCATAATCTGACATCGCATGAATGAAGTGGTGGGCGCAAACAACAGTAATTACCTTTTATCTTTGTAGCAAGACCCGATAACGGACCTGAGTGACTGGTGCATTCAGTCCCAGTGACAGCCCGGCTGACACCGAGTCCAGCCGGCTCGGTGGAAACAGTCCCCAGTCTGGGGGTGCCAGTATAACTGATGGGGCTCCACCAAGACACAGTGCCTTTAACAACCCCATCGCATCTCTCTCCCAGGCCTTGTTAGCCGCCTGGAGAGGACAGTCGGCTTGACACCAGGACACACACAGACCCGTGCACCCTGTTAGTCGGAGCGTCATGAACATTGCCTTGTTACGTTCTTACCTGCAATTTATTCCTCCTCTGTCACACGGATGTCAAACATGCTGACAACAGACTAGCAGCTGAATTTTTTTATTTTTTTATCTCCTGCTGGTTGTTGCAGGAGAAATCATGCAACTGTAAAAGGAAACCGTGTAAACATGCAACACAAACAGACCACATCCTGGACTGTGTGCAAGCCTCCTCCAGCTCTGCTCTGCTCCTCTTATTTTTATCCCCGTAGCTGTGAAATTCCTCTTAATGTTGGATTTGCGGCTGTAGAAAGCCGATACGCATTAACTCGCACGTGTGTGTTTTACCGTGATTCACAAAACGCATGAAACTTAAACGCATCGAGGCACGAAGGAAGGGAAAAGAAAAGAAAAGGGAAGTCTTTCATTTCCCGGCAGGAGAGGTTTCATCTGAGAGCTGTTCATTAGATTAATTTACTCTTTTGAATTGACGTGGAATAACTTTAGCTCCGGGCTCACCTGCTCCGGCAGCCATGAATCAGCAGAGTCCCGCTTAATACCCTCAAAGCACGGCATTACTTATGGCATTAATGGTAGTCGCTTCCGCGTCCCTATCTATCTGCCAGGCCTCCGAGTGACAGGAGCTGGCGAGATCATCAGCCCAGTTAGGGTGCTATGCTTCTTCGTCTGCCAGCTCGGAGCCCTGGGTGTTCCACAGCCGTCCCTGGGTGAAATTAGATTTGCACAACTTCTGAAAAGACTTTGCTCTCTTAGCTGTCATGTTTTTTTTTTTTCTTTCTTTCTTTTTTGGAGAGTGTAATTATAGTCCTGAAAGAACAATAGGCTGGATAGATAAAATCAGATGTGTCATTTTCTTAGAATGTAATTATAAAACAAAAGCGTGCAACCACCCAGCGCTACGTTTGGAAGAATCCGGCAAATTGACCATTTAGAGAACAAAGTGAGAAACGAGCGTGAATCACGCTGGCAGTCTATTAGAACACTAAATGAAATAATAAGCATCACTACAGTCTACGCAGCGTGACTCATTTCCTACTGAAAGATGGCCCTGACAGTTCTAAGTGTCGAAACGCCTTTAATTTCATATAGCAACTCAATATTCTAATTACTCTGTCAAACACTGCCAAATGGCACTTACTTTCATCAATTTGCTCTTTAACATGTGTGGTTACAGCGATTATTCTAATATAGCTTGTAGCAGAAGTGAGGGCTTTGAAGTTTAACTCTTTCTGGTCACACTTAACCGTGTAGCTGCCTCTGAACTACTGCACGTTGCTATCTATGCAGACGACACATTCGTATTTAGCTCTGACGTGACCTCTGACCTCGTACTCAGGACCTTGCTCCTCCTCCACCTCGTACGACACTGTCTGGATCTTCACATCCTTCTCTCCTTGTGCGCAGTCAGCCGCGTTTTCCGTGGCGACGCCGTCCGGCGCGGCGTCCTTACTCTCCGTGAAAGTGGTCTCGAAGCTCTCGCTCTTCGAGTCCTTGCTGTGAAGGCTGACGTCGTCCTTGTACAGGATGAAGTTGGGTCTGTAAAAGGCCTCCACGGCTAGATGAAGGGAGGTGGCGTCCAAGAACTGCTGAGTCTTATGCTTGCCATTGGGCCCGGTGTAGTAGTAGCCAATGAGGCTGTCCTGATGGGGCTGGCTCGGGTAGTCGCACTGGTAGCCCTGGTAGTCGTTGGGGACCACGTGTCTGCTGGTTTTGTCTAGCAGGGGGTTCTGGAGCTCGCTGAGGCTCTCCATGATTTGGCTGGTTCAAACCTCTCGTGGATCAAAGGATGCAGTCCCAAAGAAGATCTGGCAGTCTGGTGGCTGGAGGAACAGGTCAAGCAGAGTTACAATTAAATCGGAATTTCAGAAAAGGAATAACAAGCACTCCAGTTACATCAAGGCATATTCTCGGTCCACTAATCGGTTCTTTTAGTAATGAGATGCCCTCCAGGACCGGATCTGAGTACAGGAAATATTTCATCTCGTTTGGCAATCAGCATTCCTCTCGCAGGCTCTCGTCCGTCTGAGCCATAAAATCACCATCTGCTGTACGTTCAAACTGTTGCATCTCACACCTTCAATTTCATATAAACACGTAGGAAAAAAAATACATCTTCCCCATGTCACGGGTGCTTATACCGAAAATCAGGGAAAGTGCGGCAGGTTCAGCTGTATTTGACAATGCATACTGATGTCAGTGAGCCGGCCTCCTCGACTCCTCCTGAACGTTTCCAGCTCACACATTAGTTTAAAATCAAATAAAAAATGTACAATAAATTAAATAATACATTTACAAAATCAGTAGCACTGTCAGGAGAGGCAGTCACTAAGGCAACAAGTCCTCCAATGAGAGGCTGTGTGATCTGAGCACGTCCGGGTTTTGATTTAAGAAAACGCACTATTTGTTGTGTTGCAGATCCAGCACCGACGGTCAGTCCCCCCTTTTGGCCCGCAAAGACCTCATCCATCGAACTAATCTTTCACCGCGTGACTAATGGCGAAATAAGATAACCGCCTCAGAGGCAGCTGCATTATACTTTGGAATTAGTAGAACATTGCAAATCAAGTCAGAGCCATTTCATGCTTTTACGTTGAGTAACAAGCCACGGGGTTGAAATAGGCAAGAAAAATTCTGTGATTTTCCACTGATTAGAAAAAAATGAAGCATGTCAAGGCTTGATTTATGAGGTTTGGGAGGTGAGCGAGTCGGTACAGAATGAAAGATGAACATACGGGCCGGGAGACAAAACAAGAGCGTAATGGCACATAGTGCAAGATGCAACCTTTAGACTCCTATTAATGCCTCTGACACACACTCAGTGACTCAAAGTATTCCTGGATGCACTAGCTCCTACATATGCAACGTGTTTTTGTGGCCCCTCAGGGCAAACGTGTAGATCTGCAGCAGACCTCTGGACCCTTTGACCCTCATGAGAACAGAAAGCTCAGTCGGTTTCACACTTACTTGCCATTGCGGAGATGCATGAATAATGTGGGCCAGTGGCTGAGTATGAGCCCACACACACACACACACACACACACACACACACACACACACAAGACTCTGTATCTCCAACACTGTGTCCATCCTCACATGCTTCTGAGGCTGAGCCGCTCTCCAGATAACAAGGAATTCCATTACACACCACATTAGACAACAAAAACCACATCCCGCATCCACAAATAATTTATGTGACACCAAGAGAAGTGCACTTAGCACATGTGAGTGTGAAGACTCCACGATTATTAATGACCAGCAGCCCAGTGTGAGTCTCTTACCTGCTCTTTGTTTGTGTTGCCTACAACACTTTATGGATACCAGCCACTCTCTGTCCCTCTCTTAGACGCACACAAACAATAAAACACACTATTTTCCTTCTAATTAGTGGCATCACACTGGTTTTCACTTCATGTCAAATTGCCAAACTTCATTTTCAAAGCTGATCACGACATGAATTCATCAGATCTGATCGGATCGAATCTTTTTTTTAGGGACAATCATCTTACCTGGAGTAGAAAATCCTCCCGTAGGTTCGTTCAGCATCGTTCCTTCGGCGCAACTGAGTCGACGGAGACGGACCCACCTTCCTACTTCACATTATCAGTTTTAGGAGAATTGCCAGCGTCGCACGACATATGGCATCCCTTTAAGAGGAAGTTATTCCGCGTGTGCGAGGCTGGACTTTGCTCGCGGAGCTCTGGATGCCATGGCACCGCCGCTGCGTCTGACAGGTAAGATTTTACGCACGGTATCTCACTGAGCTCCGGCTCCAAACAACTCCGACGGAGGCGCCGCTGACTCCAGCCAACTGATTGGCTGTGCGAGGCGCGCTGCAAACTCTATTACCCACCGCGGATTTGACATTTCCAAACTCAGCTTGCTCTTGCTTGGGCGTCTTCCTCCATTCAGTGTCTCGTGTGCTGGCTGGAGTGTTTTTACGCCCCCCACCCCTCCCACCAGCACCACCAGCACCAACACCAACACCAGCAGCAGCAGCAGCAGCAGCACAGGTTCTATTTTTCCTGGTTGCATAAGCACAGAGACAGAAATATGCTTTACATCACGTGACAAAACACTTTGCAGACTCATATAAAATAACTGTGCTGCTTATTGCTTTTTCACAACTTGATTGTAAGTGTTATTCTTCCCCACTGAGAACGCCCACTGCATGTGGAAAACACAGAAACCTCACAGATCATTTTTATGAAGCCCTCCTCCTGCTACATGAATAACAGGATCCCCCCCCTTCTTCTTCTTCCAAATGCTTGCTGCTTGTGGAAATCTACCTCAATTCTGCCTCCTGTCCTGTCCTGCCAGTGAACACGACTCCAGTTTCAGCTGTAGCTCAGGAGTAAGCCACTAGTAAATTCATTGCACATTTATATTTGATTAATATTTCAGACAAATCCCATGCATTTATCATGAGCCTGCCAATTTGGATGTGCCTTTAACCCCGCTCTGCTGAGCTGCTTATAATCACATGCGGCCATTTATCATTGTAAACACTGTTTGCATAGCATTAATATAGATGTGTTTCTCATGTAAGCAAAAGAGGCGACATAATAGGTTACAGACAGCCGAATTAGGGCCTAATTCATTTGGATCCAATCGGAGAATAGTGATAAAAGCGCTTTACAGGGACACAGACTGTGATTTAATCTCATGTAGAACACACTGAAAACAGTGTCCATCAAAGATTTTGATGCAACGCCAAAGACTGAAAGACTGATGCACTGCCACCGAACACTGGACACATATCTTATTCAGAAGGAGCACTCTGTTCCACGGGCTCATAAAAATGTCTGGAGTTAATAATGTGCAAGCCCAGGCTCTGTCACTTTCACCGGGAGATGCATTAAGGTGCTGATGGACACTTTATGGGGGAAACATGGGGCTGCATTTATAAGACCGGGCGCACATGAGCGGCGTCCCTCCCAGAGTCACCTTGTGTTCACATGCACGAGGCGACGTGGCATAACAGCCCAGCCATCTCCGTGATGGATACCACTCCCTCAGGAGACAAGTATATTAGAAGAGGGGGGTGAGCGGGGAGAGCAGAACCTGAAAACGTTTATCCTCCTCTTCCCTCTTTCCTTTCTCCGGCTCTCCATTTGCCTTTATGGCAGAAATTACAGAGGAACATCGTCTTAACGAAGATCAAAACAGCACAAAGAAATCCACCGAGGGGAGGAAAAAAAAAAAATCCCAAATTGTGAGACAAAACAAGTGGAGCTCGACGGTGCCACATTAAAGCATAGTTTATGAGAAGAGAAGATTTCTCCTCAGACCGTGCTTTTGCCAGCTTTCTGTAGATGGACTGTGAATATTTATGGTCCTCACTGTGCCCCTTTCTTCTGCTCCATTTTCCACTCTATATTTAGGCACCGTGTCACTACAGAGCAGATGCACTATTTGTCAGGCGTCTTTTCCTCAGAGTCTTGCGATTTTCAAGTAACAAAAAGGTTATTAGGGCTCCAGCATGCAGGTGTGCGTGCGCTGTTAGCCGACTAAAAGCAGAACAGATTATGTTTTTACAGCTACCTTTCGCATTGATTTTCCCCTCACCTCTGTTTGATATCGCAGCCAACTCTGACACCATGAACTCTACTAAGGCCCATTAACCAGCGTTAATCATTTAAACACTTTTGGGAATTAATCAGCCTAATCCGATTGGCAGAGAAAGTATCAAACCACTTAATGTGATCTGGCCTAGAAAAGGGGGGGATTTAAGCAGCTTTTCCCACATGGCTGTCCTGCGCATTATTCCCTATTTGATTAAAGCGTATGCCGATAGAGCACCTCTGACCACTGAAACAGCACATGGGACTAATAAGAGGGAGAATGCACCAGCAAATCTGTTAGAATACTGAGCAGTTTGTCTCACTGAGACGTATTCATGCAGCACTATTTCAAACCAGCAGCTTCGCCAGCTACAGTCGTGACTACATGATCCTACGCTAGATGTAAAACCTTCTTTTATGTCAGATTGTCAAGACGGAGGTCAAGATACGAGGAGGGCTTGATGCTTGAAGGCTCATTTGATGTTAATTATTGTTCATAATTGTTATAATAACTAGCAGGGCTGGTCCGAATGGCACTTTCTGGTCTCAGGCCCAATTAATGCTGAATATCTGAATATTCAGAGTGGTCGGGGGACACTTCCACCCCGGGGCAGCGCTCTGACGGGGTGGAAGTGGCCGAAACCCACAGGCAGTACTTGGCTGCTGATGCTAGTTTAGGATAGTGCAGGGGTGGGCAATCCTGGTCCTCGAGGGCCACAATCCTGCATGTTTTAGATGTTTCCCTCTTCCAACACGCCTGATTCAAATGATCAGCTCATCATCAAGCTCTGCAGACACCTGATAACGATCCTGATGATTTGAATCAGGTGTGTTGGAAGAGGGAAGCATCTAAAACATGCAGGATTGTGGCCCTGGAGGACCAGGATTGGACACCCTTGGGATAGTGGGACGGCGTCAGCACCACTCCCCTGCAGCTGCCGCCGCCGCCATCCGTGTTTACTTCTGTAAACACTGAGCACGCTCACGGCATGTGACGTCGTCGTGTCCTCTTCTCGGGACACTTTGGGGAGATCACATACAAGTCGCATTTAACTGGAAATGTGAACGAACTCGCAAAAAAATCTGAATTGAGCATCAAGTCTTGCAGTGTGAACGTAGCCAATCTGTCGGATTGTTCAGTCAGATAATACGCCGTTATCCTGATTGGTGACATAAAATGTCATGTCGGAGTCAGAATCCAAGGCTGTCGCTATGTTAAGGCTATTGTTCATGTGTTACGTTCGTTTTTCCTAAAAACCAGTCGGATAGCAAGGTTTTCGGATTGTTAAGGGTCGGATTATCGAGTCACGACTGTACTAGATTTATGGTTATGGCTGCTGGTGTTTACTGCAGACATCAGGTGCCGGGCGAGGAGCTCATCCATTTGGCCGAAGAGGTCAGTTTGCAGAAAACAGCAGGACTTCGGCTCCCGCAGTGACAGATTCAGGTGCGGGAGCAGCAGGAGGAGGCTCGGCATACGAGGGAAGGTTTTTGGCAGGAGCAGAGGTTGGAGCTCCTTCCAAGACCCAGAGGCTTTTCTGCAACTCAGACTAAAGTAGAACGACTACAGCTAAATACCGCTTCACATTCACCGCCTGACTCAGGGTACGATGAGCTGGCCGGGAAGCTCACGACAGAATCGTGCCCCGTTATGGGCAGGAAAAGAGAGTACGTGAATTAAAAGTGGTGATGAATAAGAGAGTGGGTGGTGAAATAGACAGCTGCTGTTCCTTTCAAAGGAGCAGACTGAGCTCAAGAGCGCACAACAAAAGCTCTTTTATGCAGCTCTGTTTATTTACCAATAAAACGCCGCTATCAGGCGTCCAGAGAATTAGTTCCTGAAAGCCGTATTACAGAACTTTACTTTAGTTATTTGTTAAGGTCTAATGGCAATTCCAGGCAGTGTAGGACATTAAAAGAAATGGATTTATTGCCCTCTTACATCCAGAGAAAATGAAAATGAGCTTGACTCCTACAGTAGGTTGTCATAATGAAAAACATAATAGTCAGTGAATGCCAACATTATGAGAGGCAATTTCATTAAAGTGTTAGAAAGTTGCACAGTGTGTGACTTTTCAAGGTCCCTCTACAAATGTTCAATCAGAATATTAACAGTATGTGTCTGGAAGTTGGCCCACGTCTGTGTGCCGGTGGAATAGATGTGCCGGGAGTCCCCGGGGACCGGCGGAGGCTTTCGGCTCCGCAATTATCTAACACACAAATGCAATATGTGTCGAATTAGCCGAAAAGAGCTCCATCAGGAGGCGAAGGGTCAGAGTTTGTCATCTGCAATTTCAGACAGAAGCACCACTTTGTGACTCTACCCTTCACCTGTGAGCACGCGTCCCTTCAGCGGCGCACGGAAAATGCAAAGTGTGCAACTTGGGAGAAATCCAGCGCGGAGTCGCAGTAGTTAACGTCAATCATAATTGGACTTCCTCCTGCAGAAGGAAAGTGAATGAGGACAGCGGGGAGTTTCTCATCTTCACAGATCGCTGGCAGTGGTACAGTAAGCGACCGTTCCACTCCACAGAGACGCCGTGTGCAGATTAATGGCATTCTCTGTGGCGAGATTTGAAAACTTCCATTAATGGAACACCAATGATAATTTATTTGGACAGCCGAGCTGCTTCCCTGTGAATAATGAAGTGGCCTCAGGATCATTAATATGATGGATTCCCTCTAATGTAGTGATGCTGTGCCAGGAGCAGGCGTAAAAAGAAAAGGAACAAAATATCATAGCTTCTGTACATTCTTTGGAGCTGCAAACAGAATACAGTCATGGTTTGGGACTGACACTGGAGTCCGTTACGAAAGATCTTTCAGGAAAAAACACCTCAGTGGATTAAACAGTCCTAACGAGCAGCACACCATCAGACCTGTTGTGGAGTGTGTGTGTGTGTGTGTGTGTAGGTATGCCAGGTGATGAGTCAGCCAGGCGTGACAGCTCACTGTATGACTTACAGGGAAGTGGTTTTATTCCCACTCCATCCCATCAGTCCAATAAGAGGAATTACTAATTATGTGTGCTCGGCGCTGCCAGAGCGGCTGGCCGTGATGCGTCATGGGACCGGCCTGCATATGGTGGAGCTTTGCACGCTAAGAATTTCCATTAAAACTACGAAGCCGTTTATTAACCAGCAGAGGATTTAGCATTATGTCTCCAATATGGCTCCCGGCAAAACAGAGCTGAGACGAAGCCACATTCCCTCC